ATATTTGAGGTAAAGTGAAGACAAGTTGTTCTGCAGCTCATTAGTAATCTGTGCTTATGCTAAATGTGAGATTGTGTTCAAATACAGAAATGATGATGCACATTCAGGAAATATTTCATCTCAAATTATTTGAATCCTCCTGATTTTACTGTGTGACACAGAACGTTACTTTAACATACTCAACGCAGGGTTAAATTCCGTGTGTGTGCACGTACATGGGAAATAAAGCTGATTCTCTGGACCCGCGTGAATTTAATTCCTGCAATGAGAGAACGTCCACGTGAGTCCTGAGGGCTTTTGTTTAAATTCAGCAAAAACAAGTGACACAGATGAAACTAGAGCTTCTGTCCAAAGTGAGCAGTCGTGTGTCGTGTCTCAGATACAAATTCAATGAATCATAACTGAATTAAAATAACAGAGGAACGAGAGCAGTGATCTGTGAACAGATCATCACTGTGGCTTCAGATAAAATAAACATGAGTGTCAGTCAGGTTGAAGCTTTTGAGTTTGAATATTATTACAAAATAAAATATTTACGTCTCCTGGCGTTAAACTGAGCTGCTGTTTGTTTTCGTCAGAGTGTGAGAGTTTTATTAAATCGTGCGTCCGGTGTGGTTTCTGTGTTTTACTGAGTGGTTCTTAATGAGCTTTGGGTTTGAATGCGGGCACAGTTATCTTCACTGAAACAGACTGAAAACAAAATAAAACACGACCCAATAAAATCCATGAGGCCGTGGAGCTGAGGTGAGGTCAGGGTTTCCTTTACATTGCTGTCACTGTGTGTGTGTGTGTGTGTGCCTGGGCGTGTGTGTGTGTGTGTCTTTGACCAAAAACAATTCACTGCACAGTTTGTGAATGTCAGCTCCCAATGTTGTGTGTTTGATTACAAACTCTCACTAAAGTGTGTCTGTAAAGAGAGAAACCTGAAGCTGGACCTGCAGTTCTCCTCAGCTCTGCTCAGAGTTTCAGGATTTCCTAAAACATTGTTGAGGTTTTTAATGTTTTCCAGATGTTTGTGTTTGATTTGAGTGTTTTTGTCACTTTCACGATCGTCGCCCTGGATCCAGCTGCAGCCGGCAGATGTTCTCTGCTCGGAAAGTGACTGCACAGCACCAGCAGACAGACACACAAAGAGAGAACAGCTGCAGAACGCAGCCGTTACAGAGTCAGGAATGAAAACACAGATAATTGTTGGACTCATAGAAACACAACGTCAAATAAAAACCTACACGTCTGATGGTTGTGTAAAAACTGTTTCACCACATATTCACTGTGTTCAACTTCACAGGAGGAAGATCATCAGAGCAGCTTTAAAAACATGTGACAAGAAGAGCAAAGTCTTTTCAGGACTCAGCTGACGAGGAGGAAGAAGTTCACAGCAGGTAGAGTTTCGACTTCACTTGTGTTGCTGCTGATTGTCCGAAGAGAATCATCCACATGTGCAGACGAACACATCTCGGTCATCTATTGATTGATGTAAAGACTCGTGTCAGTGAAGCGAGAAACAAAAACCTAAAGTACAAAATGATACAAAACATCAAAGCGTGGTGTTGGTGCAGGATTACTGGACCACAGGGGGCGTCGCACACTGAGCCGAGCCTATAGGAGCCACATGATCAATAATTCATTTTCAAGATTTGTTCTGCTCTGCAAAGCCGACTGGCAGCAACTGGTGTGTGTGTGTGTGTGTGTGTGTGAGTCTGTAATCTGTTTACATGGATCTAACAGCCTGAGACAAAGCTTCAAGCACCCAACCAACACACAGACACACACATTAGTTCCATTAACTAGAGGCCAGACTTTATAAAAGAGACATAAACTGAAGAGGAAACTTTAGAACGACAGAAATCAGCTTCTGACTGTGACTCATCTTGCAGCTTCTTCCATCGTCTTTAAACCGAGTCCAACACCCTGAAGTGACAACATACACACTGACCGCAGATACACGTGGTTACATGTTTGCATGTGCACGAGAGCTGTCTCACGTGTTCTGCGTCCATTTGGAGCAGAACTGCGCCGCCATCAGCAATGAATGTTACTTTTCCACAATATTCCAAATGCACATGAACAGTAGCAGCTTCTGTACGAAGGATCCCTCGATGAATAAAGGTTCATACAAGGAGTAAAATAACCTCTAGTGTTATCGTACCTACTAACTTTCCATCACTAAAGTTTGAGGCTGCGTGTTCATTAAACTGAATCAGAATCCTCTAATATAACAAACATAACTTTGCTGCTAAACTTTCTCTATTCAAACGCTTTTCTAACTCACCTCTGATTTCAAATCTTCTCTGTTTAACTAAGACTCACCTCTTTCTCAGATAGTTTCCATCCAGTCAAAGTGTGTGTGTGTGTGTGTGTGTGTGTGTGTGTGTGTGTGTGTGTGTGTGTGTGTGTGTGCCTCTGCTCCGGATTCTTTGCTAACTTCTCCTAACGAACAGTGAATGCGGTTGTCAGGGCTGATCAGAGACAGCGAGCAGGGAGACGGGTGAGGAGCCGGCCTGTGGGAGGAGTGTGTGTGTGTGTGTGTGTGTGTGTGTGTGTGTGTGTGTGTGTGTGTGTGTGTGTTTGGATCAGTTAGTCAGGACGATGCAAAATGACTTCAGTTCTCATCGATCCTCGTCCTCTTCAGTACTGTGTCATAGAGTCCCAACAGGAAAGACTCTCTGACACGATAAACTCTGAAGTCCTGAGGATCGACTGAGACGATGAATGAAGATGATCATGAATAAATATCAGGGATTAAAACGTTGTAAATTTCATTTTTAACATGAAGGGTTTCATTTTGTTTCCTCACACTTGAAGACGTCTCATCAGCAGAAAGTTGTGATTTCACTCCACCTGAAAACTCCTTGTTTGCCCCTGAAGCTCCGAGTGTGATCACAACGGGGCCTTTATTTGCGGGAGAGGTCTTCTTGTTGTTGCTAGGCAATGCCCCCCCCATCTCCTGTTATTCACCTGTGAGGCGGCGAGCCGCACATGGTTACTATCAAACACTCAGTGAGGGGAGTTCTCACACCCACAGTTTGTTGCTCTGGTCCGACTCAGCTCATCAGTTTGTGAACTTGTTTCTTTTCCTGCACAGAAAAACACAAACACCAAGAAAACTCCTGAGAACGTTCACTGCTCATTGGTCAGTCGTGTCAGAGGGCGGGAGCAAGAAGAAAAGGTCGTGTTGTGCAAATTTCTGTAAGGAGCACATATCCCAGAATGCAAAGCACACCTGGTTAGTAGAGTTAATAAGTTTCACATTTTCATCAGACAGAATCTCAATGATTAAAAAACTCTGTGATTCTGCTTCACTGAATATTGAATTAGTGTTTGAGGCTAAATGTTGAAAAACTTTTTGAGTTTTATAGTTATTATAATAATGTAAAACTCTATTATATATATCTTTATATGCAATTTTATTCATATTTGTTTATATCTTCAATCTTTTTATATATTTAATTTTGAAACTCATCATATATTTCTTTTCTCTTTGTAAAACCTTTCACTCGGTGCTTTTATTGTGAAATGTATCCTGCAGCATCCTGTAGAGGCGGGTCATTCATGTGTCTAATTCTGATTGGATAATTGACAGCGTCCGCCATCTTGGAGAGGGTATAAATGAGGTGCTTGCTGTTGTTCTGTAAATCAGTCTGATGGAAGCTGGAGCTGGACGCACGTCTCTGCATCAGTAAGTTTTGCGTCAAACTTTCCTCAAACTGTTTCGTTCCTGTGTTGTAGAAACTTTTAGACCAAAGTTAAATGTTTCTTGTTGAACTTGGTTTCACGTGAGTCTCATGATCACTGACTTCATGAAGCTGCTTCTGTTAAAGCTCATTAATATTCTTATTTAAAACTCTTACATGTGTCAGTCCAGTTATCGGTGCATCATTGGAACCATGAATCAGTGCTTTGATAAAATAAGATGAATTGTTGATACCTGCAGATCAAAAAGTGATGTTCAACACGGTGAGATGTCAAAAAATTAACTATAAGAAGAATTGGTTATGAATCAATTAAGGAGAGTGGGTGATTGTTTTACGCTTTATTTCTGATGAACAAACTACCATGAATATGTGATGCACATAACAAAGTTAAAAGAAACATCAGGAGGAGAATGTCATGAAGTATAATAGTAATTATTTAATAGTGTGGATATCTTTTAAAAGACAGAAAAGGTTTTTACGTCTAATCATCATCACAAAGTCTCCTTATTTTATTCTTAGATGCAGAAAAGGAATAAAAGTTTAAAAATATCAACTCTGAGGAATCAAAGAAACTTTGAAAGATAAAAATAAAGCAGCTTTAATCATTGTTCTTCTGTAAATGTGATGCCATCTTGATTTAAAACTACTACGACAGCAACTTATTCTTGGGCCTATAAAATACACGTTGCTCCTTATTGTTATTTATTTCATTATTGCGAATACGAAATATGTTTTTTTGCCTTTTCGCTGAACAGCAGCACTTTTAAAAGTCTTTTCTCTGTTTTACGGGGCCGTCGATTTGTTTCTTCCTACTGTTTGTGTTGTGTTGTCTTGTGTGTGTGTAGACGGAGATTAGGACTTGTATCAGTGATTAGATGTCGATCATCTGCTCCACAGAGGAACCAACTAAACAATGTGCATTAACAGGCTCCTCTGGTTGTTTGATGTGTCGCTGTGAAGAAACTATAAATCCTATAAATTCAGTAAACACTGTGAAAGAGCACAATATATATATATATGTACACATATATATATATGTGTATATATATGTATGTACATATATATATATTTATGTATGTACATATATATATTTATGTATATATATATATTTATGTTTATATATAGTGTATGTATCTGTTTCCTGTCCATTGTAATGTAGAGGACAAGAAAGTATTGCAAAGATCAAAGGAGACATCATAGTCAGTCCTTTGATCTGCAACATCAAACCCATGTGGATCCTCTCAGAATCACATCTATCGTAGACGACGAGCACATGTTTCTGACGAGCTCTTTTCTTAGGCAGCACACTTTGACTCTGGATGAGAGAATGTCAGCAGAACGTGCCGAGAAGCAGCTACAACATTACACAGAGTTCAGTAAGGAGCTGCAGCAGCAGAAGAAGAAGAAGAAGAACACCTTCTATCCACAGAAAATGGAGACAATGTACTTGAGGAATATGGTAGAGACTTTATGGGATAAAATAGCTCATAAAAATGTTATTATCCACAAACAGGCCAAAATAATTCAGCACCTCAACGCTACATTAACGAAGGACGGCTGCAACAACCAGCTAAAGGACGCAACGTTTAAAAAAGATAACCTTCTGCTCGGGATCTCGAATGGAGAACAAAATATCAAGATCTCAGAAAGGAAGGATGTGCAAGAACTGCAAAAAGTTAAATTGCAGCATCGCACTGTAAAGAGTCTTCACACTGAGAGTCATCCAGTTTACTCCGACCAGGAAGAAGTCTTTCACAAAGAGATCCATGACCACAAAGAGCGGATTCAGTGCCTCAGCACTCTGGTTAGAGATATACAGGTTGGCAACACCCTAAAGAAGCTGAGGGCCTCTGAGAGGAAGTACAACCTGAGAGTCCAGGAGGAGGAACCTAGGTTTAATGAAAACTGGTCAAACCTTGAAAAAAGGATCTCCAAGCATAAACAAAAGATCTCAGAGTACGAACAAAAGATCTACGAGTTTGAGATAAAGATCTCAAAGTACCAAGTCCAGGGCTCTGAGACTGATGAGTGTAAACGATGTTCAGACTCTGAAATCTCCAAGGATGAGCAGTTGAAAGATTCAAACAACAAACTTGAACAACTTAATCTGCAGCAGCAAAGACTCACAGTCAGACCAGAGCACAAGACACAGCTCTTAGACTCTGAACCCGAGGTCTCAGACCCTGAAGAGCAGGACTCACATCCTGAACCAGAGGTCTTAGATTCTGAACCCGAGGTCTTAGATTCTGAACCCGAGGTCTCAGACTCTGAAGAGCAGGACTCACATCCTGAACCAGAGGTCTTCATCCATCAACACGAGGTCTCAGACTCTGAACCCGAGGTCTTAGATTCTGAACCCGAGGTCTCAGACCCTGAAGAGCAGGACTCACATCCTGAACCAGAGGTCTTCATCCATCAACACGAGGTCTCAGACTCTGAACCCGAGGTCTTAGATTCTGAACCCGAGGTCTCAGACCCTGAAGAGCAGGACTCACATCCTGAACCAGAGGTCTTCATCCATCAACACGAGGTCTCAKWCYMTSAACMCRAKGTCTCAGAATCTGAACCCGAGGTCTCAGACTCTGAAGAGCAGGACTCACATCCTGAACCAGAGGTCTTCGTCCATCAACACGAGGTCTCAGACCCTAAACCTGAGGTCTCACACCATGAAGAGGAGCTCTCACACTCTGAAGTGGATGTCTCCGACTTTGAAATAGAGTTTTCCGGCTTTGACTCTAACACCTCTGAAGTGGATGTCTCGGACTTTGAAACACAGGTCTCAGACCAGCTCTCGGAACAATGAGGAGGGGGCTGGTTTAAAGCTCAGTGCTACAAGTGAAGAGGATAAAAAACCCACTGGTGACGGCCTCCAGTCTGAATCTTCAGGAGAGACCAAAAAGAAATTTGTTCACAACCTCAAACCATGAAATGGAATGAAAAGAAGCAGAACTTGTAAAAATGTCTCTGTGTTAAGCCCCGCCCTGTTTCTGACTGTGTGCTGCCTCTGCTGATCACGCACGATTCAATAAAAATCTGTTTTTCAATATCAATGAAAAATGTAGTAACAGTCAGTATTGATCTGATATCAACTTCTGACTATGTGCTTCTATTTATAGTCACAGGTTTGTTAACTAGGTTATTTCCAGGTTCTTGAAAATATCAAACTAAATTTCGGACGGTGGAGCGAGAGATGAGACAAAACATCAAACACCATCTTATCTTTTGTCAAACTATAGTTTAACTTAAGTTGCTGCACATTCCTCAGGAGAGTGATCATCTAATATTCACCTAACACGACACGGAGACTTAAATAATCTCTTAATCCCTTTAATATCACTTACTTTAAGACTCACTTACATGACTTTACTCTGACTATCTCAGATGTTTTTCCTCCCTGTAAGTGGAGCTAATCTTCTTAATGTACTTACAAAGCTGGCAGAAGAAAAATGTGTGTGTGCGTGTGCATGTGTGCGTGTGTTTGTGTGCGTGTGCATGTGTGTGTGTGCATGACTCGACCCTGCGCTGAGAATAGAAATAAAATCCAGCATCAGGGACGACGAGGGAGAAAAGATATTGATGGAGTCTTGGTGCCTTTCTCTTAAAATCGATCAGCACCTGAACAGTGTCTCCGTCTCTCATGCACACAAACACACTTTGAAGAACATGTTTTCATTCACTAAGAAGCACACAGTGGGTTTCGTGCTCCATCACCACGGCAACCGGTCAGCACAAAGCCAAATAACTGTCCGGGCCCATAAACAAACCCGACCAATCAGAGGAGGCGTCAAAGTGAAGGGGAGCAGCCTCCTCCTCCTCTCGCCCTTCATCCGTTTGTGTGTTGTTGCTGTCGTCCACTTCGGGGACGGCTCAGTCGCCCTCGCTTTAGAAAACCACAGCCGCTCAAGAGACGGGAGATCAGAAGTCAATGGGGGATTCACTTTCAAGCAGAGTTCAAGAGCATCTTTTCTTTTTAAAGCGCCGGGGCTGGTGTGTGATTGGAGGAATGTGGATGAGAGAGGGGCGGGGGAGAGAGAGGCTGTAATGAGGGTGAGGACGGATGAGGAAGGGAGAAAGACAGAGATGTAAAAGAACACAGTAATATTTGGATGTGAGACGTGAGTGTCCCTGAGGAGAAATCATTTTATTTCTCAACTTTTCAGACTATTCAAAGGAGCGACTCGTTCTTGACTCTCACATCACGGCACGTCGAAGCATTTGAGGCGATCCGAGTGTCTGGGTTTTAAACCCTGACTGACTGCGGAGCCGGGAGGCCTCTCAGTGGAAGTAAATAAATGTCACAGCGGCCGAGAGACGAGTCCTTTTAAAACAGCTCTGACTTTGTTTTGTCGTTATTTACAGTCGAGTGGGAGAGAGAGGTTTATTTCTTTTCTCTCTCTGTCGTCTTTTCATTGTGACTTCTGCCAACTTTTCTGTTTCTGTCTCTTCAGCTGAACTTGCTTTTATCAAATGAATCAATCAAGGTCAATCTGGATCTTGTTCTTTTCATTCTGGTTTTCCACATTTCAAAATAGTTTGGGCCGAGATTCGGTTCAAACTGTCACATGACCCATGTTGTGTGGATGATGTCACTGGGGGCCGTGTGCTCCGGTTTGCCATAGCAACATCTCATGTAAAGAAAAGTGCATAAAGTGGAGTTAATTTGGTTTGTGATAGTCGGGCCAGATTCACCATTTACCACTTGAGCTTCACATCCAGATGACACCGTGCAGAGAGCTCCGCAGAAAAGACCATATTTGCTGTTTTACAAGTGGGAAGTGTTGATGATAAATTAATTAACCTTAAAATCTTTGCTTTGCCCTGAAATGTTTTGTTCATGGTGGTAGAGGATTTTGTGTCTTGTATCATCGGGGTCTGGTGCTTGTTCTCCTGCGTATAAATAGATAAGTTAGAGATGAAATGCATCATTTAAAACTGGCTTTAGCTCGATAGCTCTAACCTAATGATGCACCCAAGATGATCTAACAATGCATTTCTGATGAGAACAGTCACACAGAAAAAAATACACAAACACACACACATATACAGTATATAAATATAAATATATATATATTGTCTTGAGATCGGGATTCTCAAAAAACACTGTTTTGACTGTTCGCCCGACACACACACAACAACAAGGTGTTTACTGATGCTTTACTTCTGTTGTGTAGTTGTTTCACTGGTTTGGCCCAAATTGCACCAGCTCACTTTCTCCTCTGCTGTGTGTGTGTGTGTGTGTGTGTGTGTGTGTGTGTGTGCGTGTGTGTAAATACTGGTTGGACTGAGAAAGGTAGAAGAACCACAAAGCTCTCTGTTTCTCTCCAGCTCTACATCGACTTGTATTTTTCTGTTTCCTGAGTTAAATCAACTTGCGACCAAAGTCTTTCTAAACTGTTTCACCCTCTTGTGTTAGTTTGAGGTCCAGCACTTCTTCTGTTCTTCATTAATGAGTCATGTGCTGGAAACAGTTGGCGGTGGGTCATGTGACCTTTCTGTCCCTGGAGCCTCCTCTTCAGAAAACTTTGTCCTCTGAGTTTTTGTCTCAGTCTTTAGTCTCAAGTCTTCTTCAAACTGCTGATGTTCATTTATCAATTTAGATCATTTAGAGTCAAACAGACCAGGAAGCACTGGGTGTAAGGGAGGGGGTGGATACCACAGTGTGATTGACAGCTGGTACCATCCAATTGGTGCAGGTGGGCGGTGTAGGTAGGCGTGTAGTATCCTTGAGTCAGACTCCACCCCCTCTCCTCCAAATATTACTTTTGGTTTGAAACGACCAAGAAGCCTCAGAGTGGAGGCTTGAGATATGATTATAGTGATAAATGTGTTCACGTTCGATCCTCAGGTCAGTCTGTGACTTTTGAGTCTCAACTAAAACACAGTGGAGCAGAATGAAAAGTAATTTGTGGGGCTCACAGCATTAAACTAATAACATAAATCATTTCATAGAGAACTGATTTCCAGCTCTACAACTTTAGTTTGTTTCTCAATAATCCAGAGAGTTTTAAATACAGAAGGAGAATATTACTAATATCAGGTTTTTGTATTTCTTCTCACAGAACTCATTCTAAAAACATCTGGCTGTGTTGCTGTCTGTCTGTGGCTGGTTTAATGAGCAGAGCAACAGTCTGTCGGACTCTGATCGATACTTTGCTGATCGATTCAGGGATTTGTTTGGCCGAGCAGAGCTTCACTGTTGCCTCGGTGAAAAATGCATAACTTCAAAAACAAATTTTTGTGTGTTTGTAAATGCTCAGGCGATTTTCAATATTTGTTGCAGCATGTGGTCGTTTTCATTATTCCAGTGGTTTTGTACAAACAAGTATTTGTCCTCATCGCTCAAATGAACATTTCACCAAACGAAAGGCAGCAGCATTTTTCTTCAGTTTGACGCAGCTCCCCAGTTCAGTAATCTCTTCGTACAGATGTTAAACCTGGAAAATGTTCCGTGATAACACCTTTTTATAAACTTGAAAATTGGTTTGCGTCCCTCCGCAGCCTCGGCTTTCTCTTGCTCTGTTGGGCATCACCCTCCTTCTCTCCCATACGACTTTCAGGAATTCCTTTGTCTTGTCTGTTTCTTTTTCATCTGAATGTTTAGGGCTTTGCCGCGGTGCGTAGCTGTAACAAACACAATGCCCTGCAGTGCAGATAAACAACACAACACTAGAAGCACAGGGGCAGCAGGAGCGGAGCACTGTAATCACGCTGATATAAAAGCCTAAACGAGTTGTGTGAGTCTTTGCATTGAATGGCTGTGTGTGTAATTGAGAAGAGCTGCATGATAACGCACACAGACACACACTTTGTTCCTCACCTTCATGCTGAGAGAGACGGATCAATGCAGTCCTACTTTGGGGAAACAGTTTGGAGCTTGTGTGCACAATGCCGTGGAGGAAAGAGGCTTTCTGTTAGAGCCGCTGTTTGAAACTCAATGAAAATGTAAAAACTGCCAGTGCTTAGTTTATTTGATCTATTCTTCATCCACCAACTCTTTCATAGCATCTGAAATGCAGTCGCTCTGTGGGCAGAGGACACAGTTTAAAGTGGTTTTAGGCATTTGGCTCTTTACACATGAGTTGTGATTAACTGCTGGATGAAGAACTGAGCAGAAACAAATCCAGATGATTAAATGGAACAAGAAACTTTAGATTTAAACTCTTTAAAGAAAACATTTAGGATTGGGACTTGTAGACGTTCACACCTGGTTTGTTTCAGACTCGTCAGTTCAGTCTGAAGCTGAACATCAGGTGTGAAGAGGTGATCTTGAACTAGTGTGAAGTCCTGGAGTACTGTGGAGTACTGTAGTACTCTGGAGTACTGCGCCTGGAGGTGCTGATGCTGCTAGTGATACCGTCATGATGTTACCATGGCAACCAAATTAAGCAAATAACCGAAACACTGCTTCCCGCCCCAACACGCAGACGCCGTCTACAAACCAATCAGAGTCAAGTATGGGCGGACGCCGCCCACCGAGGTGATGACGACAGGACGTACGTGTGTCAGACAAAATGACAAAGTGAAACTAAAACAGATGAAATGAAACTACGAACAAACACATGAAGCTTCAGACTCAGATCAGAAAACGCTCGTGAAGATGACGTCACTGTTGATCTGGTGATGACGTCGTCCTTCCTGTTGTGCATCAGAACCTGAAGCTGCTGAACTTCACCAGGAGCCTTTAGCTCAAACACACTGTGTCTACAGCTGTGGGTGAATTCAGGCCTCTGTGACTAATGATGTGTGTCCGTGAGGAGGACTGTTGTTGCTGCGCCGTCCTCTGTACATGCCAATACTCTGCGTGTTTGTCAGGAGCCACTGAGGCAGAAAATGGGCAGAATATAGAAAGAGGAGAGGCGACTAAACAGACTGGAGTGAGTCGAATGGGAATGAGGCAGAGAGAGAGAGAGAGAGAGAGAGGAGCAGAATGAGGTAGAGAGAGGAGGCCGGAGCTAGAGGGAGTAAGAGAGTCAGAAACTGAAAGGAAGTGATGCCCAGAATCACTGTGGGGATTTCTAGGTGAGGAAATGGAGCATATCATTTCATTTTCATTCTGTATTAACTTTAATTGTGTGGCTTTGATTTAATTATAGAATGGAGAGAAACGACTGGGTCCTCCCAAACGCAGAATTACTTGTGTACGAGCTGCACATTTCTTATTTGAATTCCAGAGTCCAGTCCTGTGTTTATAAATGTGGGTTAGTGAATGAATCATAACACAGCGGCTGTTTTTTGTACCTTTGTTA